GGATGCAAAAGCTGGACTTACAAAAGTGCAATTTGTAATTCAGCTGGCCAAAGAAATGGATTTCTACTGGCCAAGGGAATGAGAAGAATTTAGAGTATCCCATGAATGTTTGAGATTTACTTGGCTAACCTACTTCTTTGTTTCTTTAAAGAAGTTATACCTAGCTCTCCGAAATCCTTATATATATTTTTCTGGATATGGAGTGACAAGGGAGAGGAATAGTATATACTTGGAACAGATAAACTATGAAGTTTTTGGAATAATGATAGTGTGATGCAAGTCTAGAGAGGGATGGAACTGAGAGGCAGATATAAAATGGAGAAAGAAGGAAGAACGGAAAAATCCATAGGAATCTATGCCTGAATGGATGTGAAAGAAATTAAAGAGTTAATCCTTCTAAGTGGGATTTCTAGCATGAGGGACCTGAAGTAAATGGGCTTATGTCAGAAAGAGGAAGGGCATGGGGTGTAGAACAAGGAGAGAGAGGTGAGGGATCTGTTTTGAGATTTATGGAATTTGAGATTCTAATTGAACATTCATGTGGGCAACTGGACCACCTTACCTGGAGACTTGACCCTCCTTGTCATATAAACGATACCTGTCATGGTGAATGGGGATGGGTTCCCTGTGGTAAGCATGGAAGAGAACAAGGCCTACATCACGCAACTTGAGAGGCATTAATTGAGTCAGGAATTATTAGACTCAATTTAGACTTTTAGTTCAGTAGTTTACATATAACTCAAAGATATTTTTCCTCCCATTTATTCTGGAAGTTTGTAACACAACTAACCAATAACCATGTTCTGTAATTTTTTTTTGTTATTTCATTTTATTAAAAAAATTTAATCTTTATTTATTTTTGAGGCAGAGAAAGAGAGAGAGACAGAATGTGAACGGCGGGGGGCGGGGGGTGCGGGCAGAGAGAGAGGGAGACACAGAATCTGAAGCAGGCTCCAGGCTCCGAGATGTCAGCACAGAGCCCAATGCGGGGCTTGAACCCATGAACTGTGAGATCATGATCTGAGCCGAAGTCAGATGCTTAACTCACCGAGCCACCCAGGCTCCCCTGTAATTTTTTTAAATGTCAGTTGTAGTTTGTTAAAGAACAAAGCACTGTTATTACTGGCTCCTATGAAAGTCCTCTCCCTACATGAAATGTTAATCAAACAACATTATACTCTTTAAAAATTCACCACTTTTTGGGGCACCTGGGTGCTTCAATTGGTTGAGTGTCCGACTTTGGCTCAGGTCACGATCTCGCAGTTCATGAGTTTGAACCCCATATTGGGCTCACTGCTGTCAGTGCAGAGCCCTCTTAGCATCCTATGTGCCCCCTTTCTCTACCCCTCCCCCACTTGCCTTCTCTCAAAAATAATAAACATTTTAAAAATAATAAATTCACATACTTTTCATTTTCTTCCAGATTTTCAGTTTCTGCTTGTTTATAAAATCCAACTTGTCAGAGTTTGATGTATTGAGTACTTGACGGTAAAAGCAGCTTCCTACATTTAAAAAATAGCACCCTAATCTAAGCTCTTGTTATTCTTGTCTTTCATAATTGCTATAACTCTATACATTTTTATTCCCCTGCCTGTCAATGTTTTCTTTTCCTTTAGCATAATCCAAAATAATTCTATGTGTTCCACTCCTTTTGCTTTGTGAAAAGAAGGCATTTCATTTTGAGAGTGGCTAGATGGAGGTTAATTCCATATCCACATGGTAATAACCTGGGAAAACCAGGGGATGATCGGTTTCATTTGATCCTTCATCTGATAAGGCTTCAAAGTAAATGAACTGAATGGGAAATAACATTTTTCGTAAGTTTTCCAGAAACTGCAAATGTTTTTTGAGAGACCCAAGGAATTGAGTCTCTGATCTATTTCAGCGAAACATAATTCAACCAGAACATGATCATTTTGAAACGTTTATAACACTCTCATTCGCTGCTTTTCTCCATTCAGTCGAAAAACAAGTTCTTTTTTCTCTATGCACACCAAATCTTTTAACTGAAAACTACACTTGGTATTTCTGTTGCAGTAATGATGTTATCTGGTGGTCATTTTGCTCTGAAACAGAAGATATCCCTTGAAAGGAAATTTAAAGTTTTATTAAATCACTCACTTTTTAAAGGCATCAACAGATACTGTAAATAAAGAAAAATGAAGACAAAGTAGGCCCCTTGAATGAAAGGTATACTGATGATTAAGGTAACTCATATTCTTTATCTAATAGACTAAAGCAACTCTGATTTCCAGTCTAAATTTAACCAACCATTTGTATAGCCTTACAACAGATGTCATATCAAATTCATTATGATTTACTAAATAAAACTGGATAGAATGTTTTTCTTAAAGAGATTAACTGAAGTTTATATTGATTCTTTAATTCAATGCATAAAGTGAGGCACAAAATGCTGGCTTGAAATTTTTCTACAATATTCTAAAGATTTAAACACATATTTAATTCCAAGCTTAAGAGCTATTTGCAGCTGATTAAACATGGCCTCTTTTTCAACCTATTCTGGATCAAAATTTTGTCCAGCGTGTTTTTAGTGGAGTAAACACTTTAAAGGTGAATTTTAGTGTGTATCCTGCAAATAACTCTGCAGAAATGTGATGCTGTCGCTTCCATTCAGTTTGGTCAACTGTGAAAACCCATTCACTCTGAGTGTGACAGTGAAAGACAAAGCGATAAGTACAAGTTGTATTCAGCTACCTTTATAAACTGCCTTTACTCTCCAAGGTACAGGCTTCAGAAAAAGAATTCCAACCTGCCATTCCACAAAACAAAAAAACCTGAATATAATATAGCCGTTCCCACCATTTGAGAGAAAATCTTTCTTTTCATCTTTGGGATCACTGTACTCATCATTGACTTGAGTCTTTTGTTGCAAGAGGTTTAGCCTTATTTTAAAGGCACACAATTTCATAAAATTGTAATATTTTGCTTTAAAAGGAAGAAAAGGAAGAAAATGAGTTTGTTTTAACCACCCCTTTAAACCCCTGGCAAGTTAATTTCAGACAGTATTCTAATAATATTCCTGTAACAGGAATATTATTAAGGTTAATAATGAGTGAACCTAACTCATATTATTGTGCCTTCGAAAGATGTCTTTTGATATTCTTTTATTCTCTTTAAACTTATGATCAAAAGCAACCCTGAAATAGAAGCTTCCCATGTATTTATCACACATTGGTTTTAAGATTTTTATAAAGAAAAATAATTGATAATGGTATAATCTGTTTCAAGAAAATATTTAAAGGGGTACAAAGAATTATTAGGCACTAATATTTAATTAAATATCAATTACTATAATCCACAAATAATTTCTTTAGCATGCCAAGGTAGTAATGTCTGGTACTAAAGTTTCAGGTATACAATTTGTAACGAATCACAGTAGTAGGAGCTTTCTTAAGCTGTTATAGAGGCTTTTTTAAGTCAAAATCTAGGTATCTAAATATAGCTCCATTAACAGAATGAAAAAAGGAATATATTTATTCATGAATTTAAATTACATATTGACTTAGCACCTAATATTTTCATCTTTAAAGTTTATTTATTTTGAGAGAGAGAGAGCATGAGCAGAGGAGGGGCAGAGGGAGGGAGAGAGAGAGAATCTCCCACCGACGGTGCAGAGCCAGCATGGAGCTTGCACCCACAAACTGTGAGATCATGACCTGAGCTGAAATCAAGAGTCAGATGCTTAACTGACTGAGCCACCCAAGCACCCCTCATCTTTAAAACTGAGTACAGTATATGACAAATGCAAGCCCAGTATTGTTGAAAACATGAAGCCTTCGGGGAAATGTAGGTAGGGTGTATCATTCAGAATGACCTTTAATTGGTAGGTAGGAACAATCAGTAGTAACAAATCATGGTACAGAGATGGGAAGAAGCTGTATTTTGAATGACATACTATTGCATTAAAAAAGACCATTTTGTGGATGGTAGCCCTTTGTTTTTATAGAGCCATAGATTCCTTTGAGTATAGTGAGAGAGTTTATCCTACTAAAAAATTTACACTTTATACTAACATTAATTAAGTAAGCCTTTACTGAGTGCTTACTTTGTGCTTTGCACATGGAAATAAATCATTCAGCCTTCTCAGCAATGTTATTAGATAGGTCCTGTTATTAGATAGGTTTTATAGATAAGGAAAACAACATGTGGGGAAGGTAAGAAACTAGCCTGCATTCACAATCCGATCCAGCACCTGGAGAAGAGCAATTTTAAGTCAGAGTCCTCTTGTTAAGAGAGTCTCTATTAACTGCCAAAGATATACCTTATAAAAAGGCACATGCACAGATGTTCACAAAAATTTGCATCCAATTTCTGACATCTCCTCTCTGCCATTCCACATGAGCCCATCTGTGGCTTAAGAACCATATCAAAAAAATGATAATAGAGCAATGTCGTGAGATTCATATGTTAGGCCAACTTCTTAAGTATAACTACAGCTGGCTTTTGAACAACATGGGTTTGAACTTGCACAGGTCCACTTATACCCATTTTTTTTTTTTTGTTTTGTTTTGTTTTGTAATGCTCTGGCTATAAAAAGCTTTGTTGTTTGCACCTGATCCACGTTTTGCTCGAGGGCTCCAGAGGGGTTAAAAAGCTTCCCCGTGCCTGCAGGGAGAGGCTCAGGCAGAGGCTCTGACACCAAGAGGGATATCAAAGGGGCTCCCCAAGAGCCACTGGGCTCTCGAGGCTCCTATGCATTCTTGAGACAGCCTTTGAAAGCGCTACTCCCCCAGCCCAGGGTCAGAGCCTGCCAGCCAGCCTGTGGAGGTTAGTCAGGTGGTTACCATCTTCTTGATGTTTTACTCCTTCAACCAGGAAGTGATTCTCCAGGAAGTCACAGAGGTGGAGGTTTGCATGGCAGAACCCAGGATGTGCAGATACAAAAGGACTTAGTTCAGATTCTTCTTCAGGACCATGGTGGCTTCCACGGCACCCTGGGTTTTACCGATTTATATTGGGACAGCTTTTGCACTTCCTAGGGGAGCGCACAGCTGCTGGGCTGATTTTGCGTTTTCAAGAGACACTTGACACCCTTGAGATTCCCTCGGCCAGCCCCCAAATAAGTGGCACTTGTCCTCCTGAGCCACTTATGGTCAAAATAGAAACCCAGAGAGAGGTAAGTAGAGGTAAGTGTAGGAGGGCCACAGATACATGTTGACCTGAGGGTTGTTTGTGGCCCCTATTTCAGTGGACTAATTTTGATGAATATGGGAGCTCGTGGTTGGTCGGCAATAAGGAGCTAAGCTCAACAAACAAACCGACAAAAACAAACCCCCCAAAAACATTGTTGACCTGTCTGGGAGGCAGAGGATAGCTGAGAAGATGGTTCTGAAGGCTGTGGCTAGAAAAGAGGTTGGAGGGTAGTCGGAACGTGGAAGAAGGGCATCTCAGGGTCTTTCTATCCAAACACTGTTGAAGCAAAAGACAGATTCATCATAAATGAATTTCCCTTCAGATTTTCTTAATGATAGTTTGTTTACTTTATTTTACTTTATTATAAGAATATAATATAAAATACGTATAACATAGAAAATATATGTTAATCCACTGTTTATGCTATTGGTAAGGCTTCCAGTAAACAGGAGACTAGTAGTAATGAAGATTTTGGAAAGGCAAAAGTTATACATGGATTTGTGGATTTTTGACTACGGGGTCGACAGAGTTAGAGAGTCAGAGTCTACAGCCCCCTCCCCAAGTTGTTTAAGGGTCAACTGTAGACTGTCTATTGGAAGTGAACAAGGCTCAAATCATTGTGTGCATTAGACATGAGACAGCTAATACGTGGCTCGTGGCAGTTGTAATTTTTTGGGTAATGCTTTAGCAATTATTCTCTTAAGAAATTTTCTGAATTGTACTAATAGTTTCAATTTTATTTTTAAAAAATCTTTAGTATACTATATGGTTAAAGAAGTTTGCAATATTGACTAGGTCACTGAATCTCAATTTAAGTTTATAATAAAATAGTTAGGTTAGAGGAAAATATATCAGGAGTTCTACACAATTAGCAGAGACTAAATATTTAACAAAGTTTAGCATGCATGTAAAATATGAGTGCTGTTAGGAATGTTGTTTTCTGATGCTGACACTGGGGGCTTTGGAATCTATAGTTACACTGATTAACACTATTGCTACAGAATTTTCAAAATATATTGCTTAAGAAATAAAGTAGAAGGTTAAATGTTATCACTCCATTGGAGCTTACATAAAACAAATGCCATATTTTTGAAATAAGTTCATAGTCTCCATCAAATATATGTTGATGTTTTTAGAAAATTAAACATCGTTAAACATTTTAATGAGTTTGGAAATTGTCCCATTGCATATCTCTTATAAAGTCTAATGAAATTTTGAAACCACATTGAAATATTTTAAATATGATGATAAGAAGATGAATTTCAAGGATATCTTCCTGGAATAGAGTTTGCTTTGTCATTGTAAGGCAAATCTACATAACCCATGAAAACCTCTGATTTGGTGGCAAATCACTCTTTAAAGAATGCCTTCAACCATGGTAAGGTGTAGCAAATTGATTTGAAATAGTATTGGATGAGTGTCCAGGTTAATACCTTGGCTCCACACTGACTTGTTGGAAAATGAATTCATAAAGTAGGAAATTAATTTGTTATTTCTCCAGAGGAAATCACTCCTAAAAATTTACTGAAAACCTTTCAGGTTTGTGGTTTCAAAATGTCTCTGCAATGTTGTAGAGATATCCCCATGTGTCTACTCCTGGCTTCAGTTTCTTTCGGCGACTGGTCTAACTTTCCCAAACAGTCATGCCTTCCCCTGTATGTTGGGGCTGTGTTGCCTAGATCCACCTTCTCAGGTGAGGTCGGCGGCTCAGTGCATTGGATTTAGGCAGCCAGAAAATGTGTAATAAAAAGCAATTAAAACTTACATACTGAAGGTACTAAATAACGTAAGGAGGTGGAGGAAAAAAATATGGAAAATGTGTTCCACTTTTAGTATCTTCAGCAATTTCTTTTAAGAGTACTTAAATAAAGCCCTGACATACACTTGTGAAATTCAGAGAAAAAGTTTTATGAAATCTGTCTCAGTTGCTTTCCCCTAAAATAGCAACCTGTTTACCCTGAATAAGGAAAGAATGTTAAATATCTTAACTAAGGTTGTATTTTACATAATTCATAAAATATTTACTTTTAAGATAAGCATCCCTATCTTAGCAGTTGGTTTTTGGTTAAGATGATTTTTAGAACCATGGATTTATTGGCCATGGAAATAAATTTCATAGAAATGTAAGAATAAATTACAAGGGTTACATGAGCTAGTTTTTAAACAAAAGTTTTTAAAGCATTGTTAACTTTTGGAGCATTCCCTAAGAAAACATTTGATTAGCCATTTCTTTTGATAGACCTATCAAGGCAAACTTTCTAATTTATATTTTATTAAAAGTATGAGCATTAATCTACCTCATGTATCTTTAAAAATTTGCTCTGTGCTAGTAAATCTAAGCCTGCTACCTGTTATCTTCTCTTGTCGTTATGTCCATTATGATGTGACAGCCATTGTCATGTTATGAAACAATGAATTTGTAGGAGTTTACTGTTCCATTTGCCTCAATTTTAGGATGACAAAATAGTGTTATAAGAAAGTTTAGGTAACTTGCTTAAGGTCATATACCTAATGCATACAATGACCGGGGGGGGGGGGGGGGGGATCAATTAAGCCAAAACAAAAATAAACTGAAATCTAGTGCTTGGTTGGGACTTTCCATTTTAAATTTCCAAAAAAATATGGCTAAGAAAGAGACATAATGGACAAAGAAAACTCATCCTAAAAACAGAGCTTGTATTCCTAGATATGGTAACTATAGTTCTTGTAGTCTCAGTTTTGGAGAAAAACTTCAGTTCTTTGGTTCTCTATTTCTTTTTTCTTCTCATCTGTAATGTGGGGATTTGAGATGAGAGGGTCTTTCGTGGCTTCATCTTCTTCCTGTTGGGCCTAGAAAACTGGATAATGGGGATGCTGCTGGATGCCATTGTGCATAACTGAAACTTCCAGAATCAAGGTTACCTGTTAAGTTTGACAAGAAACATCTTTTATACTTGTCACTTCCCATTCATATACTTTGCCCTTTAGTTTTATGACATTGAAAAGCCATACAGAAATTTTATAGGAAATAAGTAGTTTTTGGAGTTCTCAATTTTAATTTAAACTCATTTTTAACATGGTACTGCTGTGCTTCCAGAAGGAATGAGAATCTTATAAATTTATTTAATTCATTGCCAAATCAGGTCATCTCCTGAGAGAGTTTTACTAAGGTTAAATGGATAAAACAGTTTTTGTGTTTCCTGAATATTGACTTGCTCACCACATCCTATCATATATAGGACTTACATGGGGGGAAAAATGATCTGTTTCCCCCCTCCCTCATAAAGGAAGTATACTAGAATTTATTCATCATGAAGAATTCAAGGATAGAAAAGTTACAAGGACAGACTTGATGGAGTGATCAATTCCATTTCATTACAAATTATGTTAGCTCACTAATCAGTGTGGATGGAGTTTATAGTGGCACTTAGATATGTTGCTTTCCATGGAGAAAATTTTGATAGGATTTATTTTGGCAAAATAAAAAGCAGTAACAACTCATTTTGAAATCTAGTATAAAGGGATCAACCTGGTCTATCTAAAATTTACCGTGCAGAAAAACGTTAATGCAAGAATGACCTCAGAAAACATCAACTCTTAGCATAGTGATTAGGGTTTTAAGGAGGAAATATTGGGGGGGGGGGGAATCTTTGTTTATAGAAGAGAAAAAAAAATAAGGTGCTCACTACATGTCCTGGTAGTCTATGTGTAATTTCTTTTCATCATCCAAACTGGCTGATGAGTCATTTGGTATTCTGATTTGCACCTGGTAAAGTGAAGCATAAATATTTGCTGGTTAATAACCCATATCCCTTTTTCCTTCCACAATGACCTCCTCCTCAATGTGATGGGTCAGGAAGCCTTGATTTTTTCATGTAGCACTATGCACCTCTCTGAGGGAGGGAAAACTTCAGGAAGTGTCTCTGGTCACATTCAAAATTTGAGTAATCAGAGAGAACCTTGCTGGCTTAGTCTTACTAGGATTTTTTTTTGAAAATATTCATAACTGTCTTAATGCTTTGTTAGAGGTCAAAATCAACCTTAGCTTGACAATAGCCAGACCTCCAGGATCCTGTAAGTCTTCTTTAACGTATGAAATTCCTTTAGAGACTTCCTTTATCTCTACCTGCATACCCCCAACTTAAACATGTATAATCAGTCACTCCTCACAATCAGAGTGCAGCTCTTTCTGCCCAAGTGTCCTATCCCTATGCTTTAATGAAGGTACTTTTTGCACGCACAAAAAAGAAAACAACAACAGCAAAACACATGGTTATTATTAACTAGGAGATAGTACTATGTCTGTTTTTAGGAAAAAACAACAACAGATGCTGCACAGAAATTTGGCTGGAGGGAGTGTATTTGCCAAGAATTTCTTCTGCCTTTTAAAAAAAAATCAGAAAAGTTTGTGTTGTTTAACTTGACCAGATAGGACTATATAGTGAAAAGTATAGCTTTCACTATGAGTGAAATATGAGTGAAAAGTAAAGCTTAGTTCAAGGAAATACTCTAAGTGAACAATGAGGAAGGAGCAGTTTACCTCTGAAATGAATTCAACAAGTGTTCTTCTAGGTGCTTTATTCTCTTTTCTTATACTGTGTAATTGAAGTCACTCTAAAAACAAAAGTTACCCTAGCACTCACTGAGTAATATATATTTAAATAAATATATATTAAATATATTTATAAATATATTTATGAGTTAGGATTTTATACTTCTACTCCAACTCTCTAACATTTGAAGAGCAAATAAACTACTCAGTTTGTTTTTTTATTAAATATTTTACCAACGATCATTTCAAAATCATTGTTTGAGAATCCCTGAGAAGCAGAAAAAAATCCATTATGTAATTTTGGGTGCTTAGAACCTCATTCAAAGATGCTTCTGCATGCACCTGACTAATTTGTTGCCAGGTATAAGTCATGACTTTCCAGACCAGTTTAGACCAGGTCAGAGGGCATGACCTTCTCCTGGTCAGCACCAAAAATGAGTGTCTTAGATCTCTTCCATTTGT